CAGCTTCAGACATCGTTCAGAAGGGACCCACCCAGGGACGCCTGGGTGGCTCAGTTGGTTGGACGACTGACTTCGGCTCAGGTCATGATCCTGGAGTCCTGGGATCGAGTCCCGCATCGGGCTTCCAGCTCCACGGGGAGTCTGCTTCTCTCTCTGACCTTCTCCTCGCTCCTGCTCTCTCTCACTGTCTCTCTCTCTCTCAGATAAACAAATAAAACTTAAAAAAAAAAAAAAAAAAGAAGGGACCCACCCTGGGTTCAATGGTTCAGTGCTCTGCTCGAACCGTCTTGAAGTTGGAACGAGGGGCCCCACATTTTCGTTTGCCCCAAGCCCTGCAAATTACTTAACTGGTCCTGCCATGGGCTTCCTCTTCTTTATAGTGGGCCCCTGGGGAACAGCAGGAGCCCAGGGGCTCTGGAGGGCACAGTTAGGATCGTTAGAGACGGACTCTGGGAATATGAGAAGGGACACCCACGAGTTGCTATAAATAAACAGGACCCCAGAACACCTAGAAGGGACTCCCAGTGGGTCCTAAGCAACCCTGAAGGCTTTCTCTGTTATAGCAGAAAGGAGGGATGTTATGGGGAATGTTCTGGCTGACTGAGAGCCCTCACTGCCCAGCCCTGGCAGAGGAGGTCAGAGGCGGGTATTCTAACAGGGACAAAGAAGGGCATCCTTCCTGACTGTGGTAGGCTGACATTCCCCCAAATATGAATGCCGTAATCCCCTGAAACCTGGGAATCTGTTACTTCATATGATAAGCCGGACTTTGCAGATGCAATTAAATTCGGGGTTTTGAGATGGGGAGATGATCTGGGATTATCCAGGGGACCAATGAAATCCCTAGAGTACCTGTAAGAGGAAGGTGGGGGCTGAGTGGCTGGCTGGTTCGTTCAGCTGGGTAGAATATGACACTAACAGCACGGCCATTGTGGGCTTGCTCCCCACACAGGCTGAGAGAAATATTCATTCTTACACGTTTAATAAAAATTAACTTAAAAAAATAAGAGGGAGGTGGGAAGATCAGAGTCAGAGAGAGATTTGAGGCTGGATGGCCGCACGCACACAGAGGTCAGAAGGGAGAGAAGCAGCTGTGTTGCTGGCTTTGAAGCTGGAGGAAGGGTCCGTGACAACGCAGGCCGCTTCCAGAAGCCAGAAAAGGCAGGGGAACGGATTCTCCCCTCGAGTCTTAAGAAAGAACCAGAGCTGTGGACCATTTTAGATGTCTGACTTCCAGAAGTGTAAGATCAAAAATCTGTGTAGTTTCGAGCTGCTGAGTTCGTGGTTGAATTACAGCAGCAGTGGGAAATAAATGAGTGATCCGGGACTCTGGGGGGCGGCCGCCGAAGCAGGACCCTGGGACACGTGGGGAAAACCCTGCAGGAATTTTCCCAGAGCCCCGAGGACACAGACTAGCTGGCCCTTGGGGTGTTGAAGCAGGACTTCATGGTAGAGCTAGGAGACACTCTTATTTTTTATTTTTTAAGATTTTATTTATTCATTAGAGAGAGAGAGAGAAAGAGACAGAAAGAGCACAGGCAGGGGGAGAGGGAGAGGGAGAAGCAGATTCCCCGCTGAGCTGGGAGCCCAGTGTGGGTCTTGATCTCAAGACCCTGAGATCATGACCTGAGCTAAAGGCAGACGCTTAACCAAATGAGCCACCCAGCAACCCCCCGCCCCCGCCCCCGCCCCCGCCACCATCAAGGACTTTTCGGCAGGACCCAGTGGATATTAGAGCAGTGTTCTGACAGGTGCGGCAGTGACAGTTGATGGGACATTGTACCAGGACCGAAGACACCCAGAGGAGACAGATGCCGGAGAGGGGTAAAGCAGGAGCAGAAGGACAGGCAGGCAAAACGTGAGTGTCATGGAAGCCCCAGGGACAATGTCCTAGCATCCCGGGAGCACTGTGGCAGGAGCCCAGGGCATGTCCCTTATGGCATTATTTAGGGATATAGACTATAGAGAAGATCCCTTGTTGGGGGTGGGGGGGGGTTTCTTAACCAGTAGAGTAGGACTCAGGGACCTAAAGAGGACACACATAGCAAGACCTCAGGGTCCCTTTTCAGTGGGGTCCCCAGGCCCTTGAGGGTGGTTCCCTCTTGGGTGAGAGAGCAACAGTCTAGCTGACGAGGAGGTATGGGAAAGGCCTGATGGCAAGTCCCTGAGAAATGTGGGAGGGTTGCTGCTGGTAGGAACGTTGTAGCAGGAGACAAGGGCCTGGGGCTGAGGCCCCTCTGGGGTCACACCAGGGAGAACGTTCAGGACTGGCTTAGCAGGATCCCAGGGGTGGGGTGGCCGATTCCAAGAATGAGATTAGCAGAAGCTGTTGCAGACATTATGTCTGGGCCTCAGGATTCTATCAGGGGACCCAAAGGTTATGGGGGTGGGGACCTGAGATATCAGAGACCCGGGGCCAAGGAGAGGCCTCTGGCCAGGACACGTGGGCGATGGTTTCCAGGCTCCAAGGGAAAGTAAAGCAGGGTCCTGGGGCGCACTGTCACAAGACATTGGCCCTTTTATACCAGGGTCCAAGGAACATCACAAGAAGAACCTGAAGCCTTTATTTTATTATTCACTTTGCTTGTTTTTGGTCTTGAGGTCTCTAAAATGAGAGCCCCAGGGCTGCTGGAATGGTCCCCTAGAGACATAGCCAGATCCCTAGGGACACAGTGGGACAGCTGGGCCTGGCAGTTTCCTCGGAGGCTTTGAGAAAACAGAGGGTGCTGTAACAGGATTTGTGGGGGGATGAACGCAGGATCCTTCAGCACCATTAGAGGCCCCGAGGGTGGATCTTAGTGGACATTCTAACAGGACCAAGGAGAGGAACGAAAAGAAATCCAGTGCTAAGTTGAATACAGATGGACCACGTGTCATAGTTAATTTCATGTGTCAACTTGGCGGGGTCCGGGCCCCAGCTGTTGGGTCAAACATTACTCTGGAGGTTTCTGTGAGGATGTTTTGGTATGAGACTTCCACTAAAGCCCCGGCACTTGGAGGAAAGCAGACTGCCCTTCCAGAACGTGGGTGGGCTGCAGCCCATTAGCTGGAGGCCTGAACAGAAGGACAAACGGACCTCCCCCAGGTGGGCAGACTGCCTTCGGACTTTCCCGAGCAAGATCCACTCTCCCTGCTTCTTCAGCTGCTGCTGTGGGACCTGACCCGCAACTCCTTCCCGAGTCCCCAGGCTGCCAGCCACCCCCTATCATATTTTAGACTTGCTAAGCCAGCACTGTCCCATGAGCCAATCCCTTAAAATAAGTCTCTTTCTATGTATGCACAACATTCCAGTGTAATGGAGGCAGGGCGGCCGCGGTGTGGGCGGGGGGCCTCGACAGACAGCAGTGTATCTTGGGACTATGTTACTGACGCCGAATCCAGAAGATACTAAAGAAGTGTAAAAGCATTTTAAGGGGACACTTAGGGGACGAGTTCCAAGGAGGAAATTTAGAAGGGGTCTGGGGAACATTCACAGTAGCAAGAGCTGGTGAAGGGGTGGGAGGTGGGGGTGGCTGGACAAGGAGGTAAGAAGAGGACCCCCTGAAACTCCCAAGTCTGGACTCTGACAGCGTCGGGCTCTCCCCTTTGTCATGAATTCGCTGCGTGGCTCCCACCACAAAATAACAAACAGGGAGCAACAGAGAAAGACCAAAAGGAAAAGAAACAAAGAAAAAAAGTTTTCAAGAGCGAGGCAGAGACAATACTCAGAGGCTGGGCACAGGGCTTGGGGTGTGCCCTGCAGCTGGGGGGCGGGGTTGGATATTCCTGAAGTCAGGGAGCAGTCTCCGGACAGGATGTGAGAGAGGAACTGGGGTCTCCAGTCACGGGAGCCAGCTTGGGCTGCTGGAAGGGAACTTCGCTGCTGTGAGCATAACTGGGGCCCAGGCTGAGGGAGGACGGGCGGCGGTCGGGACTCATGGATCTGAGGGAGGAGTGGTTTGGGGTCCTGCACTCCGGGTCTGAGGGAGGAGGGGGCCAGGGGCTGGAGTGGGCGGTGGGAGGGGGCCTGGACACCTCAGTCTGAGAGAGGAGAGGACTGGGGACTTGGACTTCCGGGTCTGGGGAAGCAGTGGCTGGGGGGCCTGGACTCCTGGGTCTGGGGAAGGAGAGGCTGGGGGTGAGGACTCCTGGGTCTGGGGAAGGAGGCGGCTGGGGGTCTGAACTCCTGGGTCTGAGGGAAGAGGGGCTGGAGGCCCTGGACTCCTTGGCCTGATGGAGGAGGGGGCTGGGGGTTTGGACTCCTGGGTCTGGGGTAGGAGGGGCCCTGGGACAGCGGCTCTCGGGTCTGAGGGAAGAGTGGCTCAGGAATGGAGGCACCCTGGACCCCTGGGTCTGAGGGAGGAGGGGGCTGGGAACTCGGACTCCTGGGTCTGGGGAAGGAGAGGCTGGAGGCCCGGACCCCTGGGTCTCAGAAAGGAGGGATCTGGGGGTGAGGACTCCTGGCTCTGAGGGAGGAGGCGGCTGGAGGCCCTGGACCCCTGGGTCTGAGGGAGGAGGGGCCGGGGGCCTGGACCCCTGGGTCTCAGAAAGGAAGGAGCTGGGGGGCCTGAACTCTCAGGTCTGAGGGAGGAGGGGCCGAGGGCCCGCGCTCTCCGTCTGAGGAGGAGGAGCTGGGGCTCGGATTCCAGGGTCTGAGGGAGGAGGAAGAGGCGGGGCCGAGCGCCGAGACAGAACTCTCAGCCTATCCAAGCTCTGTAATTAATTAACCCAAAAAGATCAAATGAAGGGGTGAAAGTTCGCCGGGGTGGAGGGCAGGGTGGCCAGCCGCGGTCGCGGAGCCCCGGGGCCCCCAGGAGCGGGTGCGCGTGCTGGCCGAGCCCCTCGGGAGCTGGGGGAGGAAGGGGCGGGGCGGGGGTCGGAAAAGTCACGCGCCCCCTCCCGCCCCAGGTCTCCCGCTCAGGATGGGGGTCCCCCGGCCTCGGCCCTGGGGGCTCGGTTTCCTGCTGTTCCTGCTGCCGACGGTGCGCGCAGGTGAGGGGCGGCGGCTGCGGGGTAGGAGGGAGGCGCCGGCGGCCGGGAAGGGACTAGGGAAGCGAAGCGAAATCCGAGGTTTCACTCGCACTGGCCCGACCTTCACCGAGAGTCACTTTATCGCTGTTCTTCCTCCGTGGCTGCGTCTGCGGGCCCCCTGGTCGCTTCTCTCTGAGTCTGTCACCCCGTCTCTCTGGGTCTGTTCCCGTCCTTTTTGCGTCCTCCGCTTCCACTCTGTCCCCTCCGCCCCAAGTCTGTCCTCCACCTCGTGGATCTGTCCTTCTTCTCTGGGAGTCTGTCCCCCACCAAGCCTGTCCCTTCTCTCTGAATGTGGCCCCAGCCCCTCTCTCTGGGTCTGTCCCTACCCAGTCTGTCCCTTTCCTCTCTGCGTCTGTCCCATGTCCCCGTCGCCCCCAGGCTGTCTCCCACTGTCTGGTCTGTCCTTCCTCTTTGGGGTTGAGTCTTTTCTCTTTCAGGGTATCCGTCCTGTTCCCAATCTAGGTCCTCCCCACATCTGCTCTCTTGGCCTCTGTCTCCCTCCCGCAGAGAGCCATCTCTCGCTCCTGTACCACCTCACTGCCGTGTCCTCTCCTGCCCCTGGGGCCCCTGCCTTCTGGGTGTCCGGCTGGCTGGGTCCCCAGCAGTACCTGAGCTACAATAACCTGCGGGCCGAGGCCGAGCCATGTGGGGCTTGGGTCTGGGAAAACCAGGTCTCCTGGTATTGGGAGAAAGAGACGACCGACCTGCGGAGCAAGCAGGAGCTGTTTCTTGAAGGTCTCAAAGCCTTGGGGAAAGGAGGTAAGAACCGGCCCCCCGGGGTCTGAGCGTGGAGGGGCCGGGCCCCCTGCTCTTGGGTCCTGCTTACCTGTATGTGGGCACCCCAGGACCCTACACCCTGCAGGGCCTGCTGGGCTGTGAGTTGGGCCCCGACAACGCCTCGGTGCCCGTGGCCAAGTTTGCTCTGAACGGTGAGGATTTCATGACTTTCGACCCTAAGCTGGGCACCTGGGATGGGGACTGGCCCGAGACTGAGACCATCCAGAAGACGTGGACGCAGCACACAGGAGCGGTCAGCAAGGAGAAGACCTTCCTGCTCAACTCCTGCCCCCAGCGGCTGCTGGGCCATCTGGAGAGGGGCCGTGGGAACCTGGAGTGGAAGGGTGAGCAACCTCCGAGGGATCCCTGGTCCCCATGGAGCTCTCCGCCCCCGCACCCCCATCCTCGGCCTCCTCCTCTTCCCCCAGCCTCTTCCCTGGCCTCCTGGCCTCCACTCTCCCCACTGCAGCCCTCCCCGACATGTCCCAGAGGGTCTTTCCACACCCAGAGCTGTCCCCACTGCTCTCCCACACACAGCCCTCCCCTGGAGCGCAGAGACTTCTGGACAGAGCCGAGTTCCTCAGCCTGGCCTGGAGGCCCCAAGGGCCAGTGGCCTCTGTCCCTCCCCTCAGCCTGCACCTGCTTGGCTCAGGCAGACACGCTCACCCAGAGTTTCTCGAGCCCACATCAGCCCTCCCCTTTCTCCACCTCTGCCCTTCTCTATCCGCTCCTCTGGTGTCACAGCCGGGGAGGTTTTCCTGTGGCCCGTGAGGCTTTCCACTTGCCTCTTTTGGACCCCCATGATGCCTTGCCTGACCCCCCCTTAAACACAGAAACAGCCCAGCTGTACTTCCGCGCATGGCTGGGGGATCCTCAGGGGCTCTTTTGTCCTCAGTGTCCCCATCTTGTAATCCCAACTTCCATCCTGGCCCTCAGGACAGACCATGCTCTGCCTAGCAGCCAGAGGAATGTTTTGAAACATAAAGGAGCTCCTAGCCCACCACTACTTAAAACTGTCTATTAGCTTTTCTCTAGTCTCACGCTACAATGCTGCCTCTACTCTGTGGCCCACCCATCCCCGCCAGTGGCTGGGCCTGGCTGCTTTCCGTCACTATAATTCCACAACACCCCAGCCATGCTGGCTTTCTCTTTTCCCTTTCTCCAACTGTCAGGTTCTTGCCCTCCTCAGGCCCTTTGCACCTGCTGTCCTGTCTGCTTACAGTTCTCTTCCTTGGGGTCCTGCCATGACTGGGTCCTCTCTGATCACCCTGGTTAAGGTGTTTCCCCATAACACCCCCATTACTGTCTCCCATGCCACTGTTTTTTTTGTTTTTTTTTGTTTTTTTTGACAGAGATCACAAGTAGGCAGAGAGTCAGGCAGAGAGAGAGAGGGGGAAGCAGGTTCCCTGGTGAGCAGAGATCCCGATGTGGGGCTCAATACCAGGACCCTGGGATCATGACCTGAGCCGAAGGCAGAGGCTTTAACCACTGAGCCACCCAGGCGCCCCCTCCCATGCCACTGTTTTGTCCATTCATTCACTACAGCGTCTCTGTTTTTTCTTTTTCATTGAGGTATAACTCACCTACCTAAAGTACATTGATTATGTTTAATGGATGCCTGTGTACCAAGATCTAGAACATTTTCGGCACCTTACAAGACTTCCTTGTGTCCCCCCCCATTCCATACCTCCCAAGGGCAACAGCTGACCCAATTTTTATCACCATGGCGTTGACTGATTTTGAACTTCAGATGACCTTAAGCATGAGCCCGTTTGCGTATCGTGGTGTAGGCCCCAGATTAGCTATAGCAGGTAGAGCTAAACACTTTGCTCAAAGGGGTTGAGCCCGTTTCAGAGTCCCACCAGCTGTGTTTGAGAACTCCAGTTGCTCCACAGGTTTGCCAGACTTTGATATCGTCTGTCTTGAGTTTGAAGCATTCTGGTTGGTATGTGGTGGTGTCTTACTGTGAAGCATTTTACATTTCTCTGATGATAAATGAGCATCATGTACATGATTTGGAAAAATCGGACAAAATCAGAACAGTGAGGAGGCGCCTGGGTGGCTCAGTTGGTGAAGCCTCTGGCTCTCGGTTTCAGCTCGGGTTGTGATCTCGGGGTCGTGGGATTGAGCCCTGCACTGGGCTCTGTGCTCAGCAGGGAGTCTGCTTGGGATTCTCTCCCTCCCTCTCCCCCTTCCCTCTTCAAATAAATAAATCTTTTTTTTTTTTTTTAAAGATTTTATTTATTCATTTGACAGACAAAGATCACAAGTAGGCAGAGAGGCAGGCAGAGAGAGAGGGAGGAAGCAGGCTCCCTGCCGAGCAGAGAGCCCGATGCGGGGCTCGATCCCAGGACCCTGAGACCATGACCCGAGCCAAAGGCAGCGGCTTAACCCACTGAGCCACCCAGGCGCCCCAAATAAATAAATCTTTTAAAAAATTCAGGTCAGGGGCGCCTGGGTGGCTCAGTGGGTTAAAGCCTCTGCCTTCGGCTCGGGTCATGGTCCCAGGGTCCTGGGATCGAGCCCCACGTCGGGCTCTCTGCTCAGCGGGGAACCTGCCTCCTCCTCTCTCTCTCTCTGCCTGCCTCTCTGCCTACTTGTGATCTCTGTCTGTCAAATAAATAAATAAAATCTTAAAAAAAAAAAATTCAGGTCAACAAGTTGATGACTAGTGACGGGGAACTTCTTCATGTTATTGACAGTGGAGTGTCCACTCTTTTGGAGTGGCTGTGTGCGAGTTTTTGCCCATTGTTAAATTGGAATTTTTATCTCTTTTTCTTATTAGAGTTCCTGATATATTCTGGATATGAATCTTTTGGCTAGGTCAGATGGTTCTATTGGAAATAACCTCTCCTGGTGTGCAGCTTATCTTTTCACCTTCTTGATGAAACATTTTTTTAAAAAGATTTTATTTATTGATTTGACAGACGGAGATCACAAGTAGGCAGAGAGGCAGGCAGAGAGAGAGAGAGTTGGGAGGGAGCAGACTCCCTGCCGAGCAGAGAGCCCAATGTGGGGCTCGATCCCAGGACCCTGGGATCATGACCTGAGCTGAAGGCAGAGGCTTTAACCCACTGAGCCACCCAGGTGCCCTTGATGAAACATTTTAATGAACAAAAGTTCTTAATTTTAATGAAGAGCAACCCATCCATCTTTTCTCTGTAGCTTTTGTGTGTGTTCTCTTTAGGAAATCTTTCCTCTCCCAAAGCTATGAATGTTCTAGGTCTTCTAGAAGCTTGGTTGATAAGTAACTTTTACATGTAACTGTGATCCGTCTTGAGGTAATTGCATGTGAGGGTGTGAGGTAAGGGTTCAAGGTTCATTTGTCCCTCGAGGATCTCCAGTTGACCCAGCATCATTCGTTGCAAGACCACCTTCCTGTCTCCTCCACGGAATTACAGGGAAGCCTTTTTCCTAAATTAAGTGTAGATGTGCTACTTGTTTTTGTTTGTTTATTTGTTTGTTTGTGTTAAGAATTCACCAATGATGGGACGCCTGGGTGGCTCAGTTGGTTAAGCAGCTGCCTTCGGCTCAGGTCATGATCCCAGCGTCCTGGGATCGAGTCCCGCATTGGGCTCCTTGCTCGGCAGGGAGCCTGCTTCTCCCTCTGCCTCTGCCTGCCACTCTGTCTGCCTGTGCTTGCTCGCTCTCCCTCTCTCTCTCTGACAAATAAATAAACAAAATCTTAAAAAAAAAAAAAAAAGAATTCACCAATGACGTCACCTGGGCCTAGACTTTTATTGTTGGAAAGTTTTTAAGTTATGGGTTAAAATTATTCAATCATTATAGGACTACTCAAGTTTTTTTATTTTTTCTTGTGTCAGTTTTGGAAGGTTGCATTTCCTAGGCATTTGTCCAGTTCATTTCAATTTCAAATGCACTGGTATGACGGTTTTCATAATGTCTGCTTACTACCCTTTAACGACCGTAGGATCTGTCTTATTTTCTCTCATCACAACACTTTCACGGTCTGTTTCCTTTTCATTTATTTGGACACAAATATTTATCTCTCTTCCCTCATTAGAACATGAGCTCCATGAAGACAGGGACTTTTGGTTAAAAAGATTTTATTTAAAAAAAAAAAAAAAAAAAGGGGCCTGGGGGGCTCAGTGGGTTAAGCCGCTGCCTTCAGCTCGGGTCATGATCTTGGGGTCCTGGGATCGAGTCCCGCATCGGGCCCTCTGCTCGGCAGGGAGCCTGCTTCCCTTCCTCTCTCTCTGCCTGCCTCTCTGCCTGCTTGTGATCTCTCTCTGTCAAATAAATAAATAAAATCTTTAAAAAAAAAAAGATTTTATTTATTTTTTTGAGACAGACACAGAGAAAGAGAGAGAGCACTAATGGGGGAGAGAGAGAGGGAGAAGCAGATTGCCTGCCAAACAGGGAGCTGGACACAGGACTCAATCCCAGGACCCTGGGATCATGACCTGAGCTGAAGGCAGATGCTTAACTGACTGAGCCACCCAGGCGCCCCAAGACAGGGACCTTTGTCTGTCTTTACTGCTGTGTCCTGGGTGCCTAGAAGAGTGTCTGGCACATGGTTGATGTTCAGTGTGTGTCTGTTGTAGGAAGGAATGGATGAGCCGTGGATATCCTCACTGTGGATAGGTGGGGGTCCCCATCCCCTCAGGAATGTCCCTTTACCTTTGCCACTCTATCCTCCAGGCTCAGCACAGTGTAGGAGACAGGGCAGGGCCTGCTGGCTACGGTGGAAGGAATGGAGGATTCTGTACGTTCTTCCCCGGCCCTCACCAGGTCTGGCCCTAGGGGTTCATGGGCTTGGGGCTTAGGTCTATCTGCCTATTTGTCCGCAGAGCCGCCCTCCATGCGCCTGAAGGCCCGACCTGGGAGCCCTGGCTTTTCGGTGCTCACCTGCAGTGCCTTCTCCTTCTATCCCCCGGAGCTACAACTGCGGTTCCTCCGGAACGGGCTGGCTGTGGGCTCCGGAGAAGGTGACTTTGGCCCCAATGGCGACGGCTCCTTCCATGCCTGGTCTTCATTGACGGTCAAAAGTGGCGACGAGCACCACTACCGCTGTGTGGTGCAGCATGCTGGGCTGCCGCAGCCCCTCACAGTGGAGCTGGGTAAGGTCCTGCGGAGGCCTCATACTCTCTGTCTCTGGCTGCCTTGCAGCCGCCTTCCGCCCCACTGCTGCCGGTCTGCCTTCCCTGCTGCGGCTGCTATTCTGACCATTCATTGTCTGCTGCTGCCTGTTGTCCCTCAGCCACGGCCAGTCCTCTGTGAATCTGACGGGCTACTGCTCTGTGACCGCCCTTCCTCTCTCCGAGTCAGACTGCCATGCGCTCTGCTGCTATGGGTCCCTTGGCCAGTGGGACTGGGACCCATCTTGACTCTTCTATGCAAAGCGGGGGTGTTCTGCACAGACCTAGAACATCAGCTGACCGGCGTTCCCTCTGTCCACACCCACTCCCCAAAAACCTGATGCTGCGATCTGTGTGGTTGGGAGGGACTGAGAATCCCCAGGCGCTGGCCCTGGCTCCGATGGGCCGGAGGGTTCCCTCTGCATCTCACATCATTCTCTGGCTGCAGAATCACCAGCCAGATCCTCAGTGCCCGTGATCGGAATCGTTGTTGGCTTCTTACTGCTCACGGCAGTGGCCGCAGGAGGAGCTCTGCTGTGGAGGAGGATGAGAAAGGGGCTTCCAGGTGTGGAGCCGGAAGAGGGAAAGAACTCAGAGAGGGACAGACCTGGAGTGGGGGCGAGTGGGGGGCATGGATCTAGACAGAAAGGAACATAGACACGGGAGGTGGTGGGATGGGAGGGAGGAAACAGAGGCTCTGAGGGGGGACAGAAACCTGTGGAGTAGGACAGAGACTGGGAAAGACAGACAGACACACATGTGGGGGAGGGGCAGTCAGGAACCCCGGGGGATTTCAAAGATTCTCATGACCTCCCCCACCCACTTCCTCTTCCCTCAGCCCCTTGGATGTCTCTCCGTGGGGACGAGGATGTCGGGGCCCTCCTGCCCGCTCCCGGCGTGCCCAAGGATGCCGACTCGTAGCACGTAAATTCATTCTCAGTTGCTGATATCACCCTCCATCCTGGCTACCACCAGCTAATGTAGTCAGGCCCCCTTCATGCTGTGAGACCTCCTGGAATCCTGGTATTTCTGAGCCTCCAGAAAGAGTCCTGGGCCCAATGATTTTCTGGATTTCTCCTCTTGTGTGATCTGCCTCAGTTTCCCCTCCTGATGATCATGGCTCTTTTCCACCTCCACATATAAACATGAGTTTGGGCCCGAATCATTGTGTTCTTATCATTTCGACTTTCAGGGGGCGGGGGGGGGGCGTTAGGAGAACATGTGTGTGTGTCGTAGGAGGGGTAGGGATAAAGAACATAAGCCCTGGGCTTCAGATCTCTCCGGAGGCAGTTGCCAGTTGTGGAATATGCCAATTTTATATACCAAGTCACGTCTTTTTCACTTGTAAGTTTCACCAATATTTACCAAATGCCGACACTGTGCCACACATTTTGAGGAATTCTTGGCTGGAGTCGGACCTGTCACCTTGGGTGGAGTGGAAGAGAAGCATTATTCCCTCTTTGAGGGAAGGGGATGCCTCCTCTGGCCGCTTGGTTCCCTTCTTTCTTAAACCGTGCTGACAAAGGGAAAGATAAAAATACACCTCCCGGGGCGCCTGGCCTCAGTCGGAAGAGGATGCGACTCTTGATCTTGGGGTGGTGAGCTCCAGCTTCGCCCTCAGTGTAGAGAGTACTTAAATAAATAAATAAACAAAACAAAACAACCCCAAACTCCAAAAAACCCCAAACCACCTCCCAAGAGGCTTGGGGGAAATAGTACCGCTGGACGTGGTCGGTGGTCTGGCAGGGCGCTGCGATGCCTGCCGGGAGTTGTAGTTCTGGGCATCCGCGTCCCTCCCGGGCCGCCCACCCGCCTGCCCTGGGAAGCGGGGCGGAACCTCTGCGGCCGCGCTCTTCTCTGTGGACGTGGCGTGGGGGCCCGCGGTCTTCGCGGAGCTCACCGGCCCTGCCCCTTTGGGGTCCTTCTGAGCGCTCATTGGTCGGAGGGCGGGGTCTCTGCGCTGCTGGAGGCGGGGCCTGGCTGGAGAGCCGCTAAATTGGGCATCTTTTCAGAGAAAGCAGAGCCCACTGTGTAGAGCGAAGTGAAGCAGGCTAAACTGGTAAAGGGAGGTGAGGGCGGGTGGCTTGCCCAGGGAGGACGGTCCGGGTTCTTTCGAGCCGGGAAAGTGGGTCTGGGTTGCAAATAACGCCTGGGGGCCTGCATGATTGCTCTCTGGACACGACCCCGCCCCGCAGTGTGCGTGGGAAGTGCGCCACGTCTCGCGCTTGAACCCCCCCACCAGCGGCTCTGGGACCCGTCTGGGACTCCCTCAGAAGATTCAGTCACTACCTCTGCTTTTACCTCTGAGAACCCCGCCCCCCTTTTTCCCACCCCCGGCCCTTCTTGAGCCCTAAACTTTGTGGCCAGCTACCATCTCTCTGTCTTGTCTTCTGTCTCTCCGTCCCCACCCCCATTCTCCTGTCCTGTCTCTATTGTTTTTCCTGTGACCCCTGACTTTTAGCCTCCACTGCTCCCTAGGGACTGATGATGTGGCGACCATCACTTCTGCTGTTGCTGCTGCTGCTGCTGAGGCACGGGGCCCAGGGCAAGCCGTCCCCTGATGCAGGCCCTCATGGCCAGGGGAGGGTACACCAGGCGGCCCCCCTGAGCGAGGCCCCTCATGATGACGCCCACGGGAATTTCCAGTACGACCATGAGGCTTTCCTGGGACGAGAAGTGGCCAAGGAATTCGACCAGCTCAGCCCAGAGGAAAGCCGAGCGCGTCTGGGGTAGGAGAGAGACGGAGGAGAGGATTCAGGGTTGTAATTTTTAACAGGGAAGTGAAGGGAGGCTTCAGTGAGAAAGTAATATTTGAGCCGTGTGGATATATGGGGGAATAGCACTCCAAGCAGAGGTAACTGTAAGTGCAAAGGCCCTGAGGCAGGAACGGGCCTGATATTTGCAGAACAGTGAGGCCCATGTGGCTGGAACCCAGTGATCGAAGAGGAGAATGTGGAAGGTGATGGCAGAGGAGGGAAAAAGAGGTCAGGGCCTTCAGGTCACAGTGAAGATTTCAGCGTTTCTCTGAGGGAGATGAGAGCCATGGGAGGACTCTAAGCAGAGGGAGGGTGTGAGCTGACTTAGGTTTCAACAGAATCCTTCTGGTTGCCTGTGAGGAAGCGTCTGCAGCGGTGCAGTTGGAAGACAGGAGGGGATGATGACTAGATCAGGATGGAGAGAGTGGTACTGACTGCTGGCTGGGAGACTGCGCGGATGGGACTGGGTGAAGGAGGGAAGAAGAAAGGCAGCGTAATAGGCTTCACATTTGGCGTAGCATTACTGCAATGCCTGGCGCTGTTCTAAGTGCTTTACAAGGGTTAACTTCTTTAATCCCCACAACCAGACTTAAGGGTAGGTTCTATCATTTATCTGCCATTTTACAGAGGGGGTAAACTGAGGCACAAAGAGGTTTCAGTGGCATGCCCACAGTCACACAGCCAGCAAGAGGAGGCGATAGGATTTGAACCTAAAATATCTTGCCGTGGAGCCCACGGTCTTAACAACAGCTTGAACCTCAGGGTAGCGTGGGAATCCCGGGACTCCAGCTCCAGACTGATCAGAGCAGACACAGCCTGTCGCGCGGGGGTTGCAGGGGCCGGCCATCTGGGCACAGCCGTGTCGGATTCGACCCTGGGAACTGGGTTGCGGGGTTTAAGAACGGTGACCAAGAGGAGCGCTCCTTGGGGCTCTGTGAGCGGTTGGGTAAAGACCCAAACCGGTGGCGGGAGTGGCCCGGGGACGGGGGAGGAGGCCTGGGAGCAGATCCGCACAGCCCGAGAGAAGGTGCGCGAGGAACGGCCTTCAGGGGCTTCATAGACCGCACGGTGCCCATGATCCGGCCGAAGCAGGAGGAAGGAACTGATGGTGGCGGGTGATGGTCCTCGGGTGAAGCCTGAGACGGTCTGGAGGAAGTAGGGGGAAGGGGCGGGACGCAGCACGGGGTCGGACCGGAGGGAGAGGGGCCTGGAATAGGCCAGCGCAGCCAGGCGGGCGGGGCAGCGGGGGGGTTGGAAGGGATGCCCTGAAGACCCGCCGCGCCTGAAAGGGCGAGGGGTCGGGTGTGTGCGTGGCCGTGGCCATCAAGAGTTCAGAGAGAGTCTTGGCCTAGGGGACCGGCGGGCGAGGGGTGCGATGTGACACCTCCTCCTTGCCCCCACCCCAACTCGGACAAATGAGAAAGGGGAGCAAGTGAGGGCCCAGGGGCGGAGTCGGGGTGACGGGTGTGGCCCTGGATTGCTTTAGGTCCTTCCCCCAACCAGGGCGTGTGGAGGACCGCCGCGCCAGCCGTAGACCCGCAGCGCCTGGATTGAGGGGGCGGAGCTCTGTCCTGGGCATGGCCCGGGATTGACCGGTGTCTCCCCTCGGTGCGCGGGCGGCTCTGGTACCGTTTTATCAACCCTATATGTGGGGGGGGTTGTGTTTCAGGTGGGGCGTGGCTCCGTGTGAGGGGCGGAGCCTGGGCGAAGGCGGGTCTCCTGGTGGGCGGAGTCTGCGACTGACTTGTGCCCCGCCCCGACTCGCAGGCGCATCGTGGACCGCATGGACCGTGCAGGGGACGGGGACGGCTGGGTGTCGCTGGCCGAGCTCCGTGCTTGGATCGCGCACACGCAGCAGCGGCACATACGGGACTCGGTGACCGCGGCCTGGAACACGTACGACACGGACCGCGACGGGCGCGTGGGTTGGGAGGAGCTGCGCAACGCCACCTACGGCCACTATGCGCCGGGTACGCGGCGAGATCCCGACTCTTGCTCCCTCGAAAACACACATACTGTGACCTTGACCTTTTTGACAGCCTCATTCTGAGAACCTTTAGCCTACGAAACAGAATCCCTAACCTTTGCTTCTAACCCTTGATCAAGTTCTACCAACTTCCAGTACTTCATCACCAGAAACTCCCAATCCCTGATCTCTGGCTTCTCACTCGCGATGGCATCCACGACCTCTCTTATCGTGACTGGGGGATCCTTGCCCAGGGACATCTACCTCCCATGCCCTGTCATCCTGACCGTTGATCTCTGACAGAACCCCAAATCCTGGGGCTCCTGGGTGGCTCAGTAGGTTAAGCATCTGCCTTCGGCTCAGGTCATGATCCTGGGGTCCTGGGATCGAGTTCTGCATCACGCTCATTGCTCAACAGGGAGGCTGTTTCTCCTTTTTCATCTGCTGCTCCTCCTGCTTATGCTTTCTTGCTCTCTATCAAATAAATAATATCTTAAAAAAAAAAAAAAAAACCTCAAATCCATTTACCCCATGCCCTGACTGTGTTCCCTCTTGTCTGTCCCCATGCCCCAGCCTGGCAACCCCCACTGCTCTTGTTTTCTTCCTTATGGACCCTCCCTCCACACTCCTCCTCCAGTCTGTCCCTATATCACAGAGGGGTCTTCCCACCCATGGAGTTGATCCTAATTCTCCCCTGCTCGCAGCCCTTCATGGCTCCCCCCGGGTCTCCAGAAGAGACACCCAGCTCCTCAGCCCAGCCTGGCCCACCCCTCTGGCTGTGTTTTTCTGCATTTTCTGGCCAGCCAAGTGGACCTTCTGTAGTTTCCCTGAACTCAGGAGCTCTTCAAACCTCCACATTCCGCTCATACCCTTTCCTTTCTTGAAAACGCCCTTCTCCTATTCTCTGTCCTATAACCCGAGTCTGTATACCTTAAAGCACCAGAGGGTGACCTTGGGGCCCAAAGGGCCAGTGTCAACTCAGAGCTCCTTTCCTGGCTGCATGACTTCGGGCTGGTTATTTCCTCTCTGTGGGAATCCATTTTCTCCTTCATAAAGTGAGAATAGATGAAAAGACTCTCTTGACTTGCTTTTTGTGAGAATTAAATGCAATTTTGTAGGGAAAGAGCTTTGCATATAATAAGCTTTCATGACAACGTTGCTAATATAAGTAAACAATGAATATACATTAATTATTACAAGTTCTGTGGGGGCCTTCCTGCTCTGATTCTACTGAGCTGAGTCCTTTGTCTTTTCCCTCAACCTGCCTGGCGTTCCTTCCAGTAAAACACAGCTGAAAGAGATTGTCCCCTTCCCCAGGTGAGGAATTTCATGACGTGGAGGACGCCGAGACCTACAAGAAAATGCTGGCTCGGGACGAGCGGCGTTTCCGGGTGGCGGACCAGGACGGGGACTCGATGGCCACTCGGGAGGAGCTGACAG